AACATAACAGTTGATTTTGAGGCTCTTGCTTACAGAGCAAAGTTGAAGGATTACAATAACTCTTCAGTAAAAACAGCATCTAGGGAAATGAAGTAAAATGAAAAGGGATAAAAGAAGTGAGGAAACAGGAGAAGGGGCAAAAAAAAGTAGGAAGAGGAGATTTAGTATTTAAATTATTTTGCACCCTGGCCAGGTGGCTCAGTTGGTTAAAGCATCGTCCTATACACCAAAAGGTTTTGGGTTTGATTCCCAGTCAGGGCACACACCTAGGTTGTGGGTTCAGACCCACTTGGGGCACATACAGGACGCAACTGATCAATGTTTCTCACATCAATGTTTCTCTCTCTCTCTCTAAAAAATAAAATAATAAAATAAAATAAATAAAATAAAATAAATAAAATAAAATAAACATCCTTGAGTGAGGACAAAAAATCATTTTGCTGCCCTGGCCAGTTTGGCTCAGTGGTTGAGCATCGGCCTGTGAACCGGAGTCCCGGATTCGGTTCCTGCGAGGGGCACATACCACAAAAAAGAAAATTACAAAAAAAAAAGGAAAAAATCATTTTGCTAAACATTGTGTCAGATACAGAAAACTGTTGAATTAACATTGCGATCAAATGAAAAAGTCAAACCAACAATGAGAAGGGGCAAATAAGAACTCAAGAGCGGCCCTGGCCGGTTTGGCTCAGTGGTTAGAGCGTTGGCCTGCGGTCCAGAGAGACCCGGGTTTGGTTCCCGCTAAGGGCACGTACCTCGGTTGCAGTTTGTCCCCGGCCCTGGTTGGTCGTGCGGGTGGCAACCACTCGATGTGTCCCTTCACATCGATGTTTCTCTCTCTCTCTCTTCCTCTCTCTCCCTCCCTCTCTGTCTGAACAAAAAAAAAAAAAAAAAAAAAAAATTAAAAAGGAATACAGGAGAAATGCCCCCCCCCAAGTTAATTAAAAAGAGAATGGAATAATAAAATTGTTAAAAATATATACCTTTCCCCCAGAAAAGCAAATTAAATAACTCAACTGGACAAAGTGGAATGCCAAGTGCTGACGAACATGTCTGCATGATTATTCAAGAGCAGTAAACGGAATAGTGTACGGGGCAGGTGTCCAACAGTCCTGGAGCTGAACCTAAGAACTTCAACTTGCTATGTGGCCTTGGGCAAGCTGGGAAAATGGTTATGAGGATACTAATAATACATGTAAAATGCCTAATACACAATGCTCAATAAATGGTTATAAAACACTTGGACTTCTTGATTAGTATATGGAAGTCAAATTCCCAACAATTTTTTTCTAATCTAAAACATGGATTCAGTTACAGCACTTGAAATAAACTTTATTAGAACTGAGTGATTAAATAGCTTGAGATAGCCCAGGCCGGCGTGGCTCAGTTGGTCCTGTGCACTGAAAGGTCACCAGTTTGATTCCTGGTCAGGGTGCATGCCCAGGTTGCGGGCTCAATCCCCAGTAGGGGGTGTGCAGGAGGCAGCTGTTACACTCTCACATTGATGTCTCTCTTCTCTCTCTCTCTAAAAATCAATAAAAATCTTAAAAAATTGCTCAAGATAGTTATATACTTACTGTTGGGTCAACCGTCTCGGTAATAGGAATAGGATGTGACACTCAATTTGCCCTATCTCAAACTATGTCACACATGCTACAAATTTTCTTTGGGGACCTTTACAGTATAAGCTATTTGGTCCAATCAGTTAATCTGCAATTATAGTAGTAACATCTATACACCCACTGCTCTTTGCCTTTTTGCGGAGCTATTTGAAAAGTCAATCAGGGGAGGGTTCAGTCAGTTTTGCTAAATACACTAATCAAAAAGCCTTACTTGTGTGACCACCAACATTCAAGGCTTTAGTCATGAAAACTCCCAATAAGATAGGAAATTAAATTTTGAGATGTTTTCTTATACATGTATTATTAAATGCTGTGTGTGCAGAAATAATTATCCATTTGTCTTCTTAACCTGCTAAACTTCCTACTGATAAAAGAAGAAAAAATAAAATTTAAGATCCTTAAATGTGATTTTACATAACTGAGAGCAAAAAATTGTTTTCTCTACAACCAGGTCCCTAAATGTACTACAGAAAATATTGATAGAATATTTTAAAACCCTCACCAGAGGACACTTTTCCATTTATCTTCAGAATGGGAGGGTGGAAGAGAAAGAAAGAAACATCGATGTGAGAGGACACATTGAATCATTGCCTCCCACACAACACTGACCAGGGCTGGAGACTGAACTGCAAAAGAGGTACATGTCCTTTACTGGAATTGAACCCGTGACTCTTTGGTCCACGGGCCGATGCTCTAACCGCTGAGCAAAACCAGCTGGGGCGATAGAATTTTTGTACACAATCTTTCAAGAATGCATCTCACCCATAAAGTTAGTTCAAACTACAGAATTATTTCAATTCATCAGAGCTGGACAGTTTTCAAGGCTTCTAGGTACTTACCTTTGAGTTCCATATCCTACATATCTGGGGTTCTTAACTGGGGGATCATGGACCACTAGGTTACAAGCAGGCTTCATGGAGTTCTGGAATTCCCTGATGGTACTTGATACTTGGAATGCATGTACACATGAACTTTTTTCTGGGGTAAAGGAACATACTTCTCATCAATTTCAAAGGCTTTCCAAAAAGCTAAAGAACCAGTTAGACATTTAAATGAACAGATGTATGTATCATTTGCCAAATATTGCTATATTTTTAACATTTGTGAGATTTCTTAATAATTATCTTGGGAAGTTCAGTGCTATAACAATGTGGTAGAGTATAATGGAGAAAAGCACACTCTGCAGCCAAACTGCCTAGTTCAAATCTTATCTCTAACACTTTCTAGCTCTGCAACTTTGGACAAATTAACTCTTTATACCTCAGAGCAGTATCCTTTGTAAAAAGTGTCTTCATTCATATTGTGTCAACAGTACTTACTTCAAAATGTGAAGATGAAATGTGAGAATGAAATGAGCTCCCAGCAAAGAAAGCATTATGTAAATATTGGTTATTATTTGGTACCTGGGATAACTCCTTTCTTGAAAATCACTTGAAACCTGTCTCCTATGTCTCCTTCTACCTTTGATGGCACCTTAGTTTTGTCTTCCCACTTCTAGGCTTATCCCTCATGTATCTCCTACACTATGGCCAGAATGGTCATTTGGAACTATACACCCGATGCCATCTCTTGCTTCTGACATCAGTGTAGTCTAAGCTCCTTAGCATGGTAGACAAGCCCCTTACGACAGTGGACCAGTGTAGCTCTTAAGTCACTATTGCCTACACTCACCCTACCAGACACAGAACCCAACTAATGACAATCTCCAAAATGTGCCTTATTCTTTTAACTTATGACTTTGTATAAGCCACTGTCTAGAACACCCTATTCTCCATTTCTTACCACACTCCTTCCCCAAGTAAATTAGGTGTCTTTTCTCAACGTGCCCCCAATGACCCTGTACACTATTTACACATTGTATTCTAGATGGCTGTTTGCTTGATGATGCATTGCATCTGGTCAGATCTTCCCTTCCCATCACCTCCAATAAAGAACAGAAGTAGGAGATGTATTATGAGTCTTGTTCTTTTTCTACCATCATAATCTTAAACCATTTTCTTATTCCTTTGTCATTCCATAACCCTTCTCATTTCTTTTTTTTTAATCCTCACCTGAGGACATTTTTCCATTGAGAAAGACATCAATGTGAGACACAAACAGGCTGGGGATCGAACCCGCAACCCAGGCACATGCCCTTGACTGCAACTGAACCTGCAACCCTTTGGTCCGCAGGCCAACGCTCTAACTGCTGAGCCAAGCCTGCCAGGGCTCCTCTTCTCATTTCTCAGTCAACCCACTGAGTTTAGCTAAAAATATACCTAGACGGTTATAGGTACACAAACTAGATAAGAGAACTTCACACTGAAGGGAACATTCTAAAAGTATTTATTTCACTGCTGACCACCTGGTTACAGGGTGCAACTCTCAGCAACGAGCTGCCACTCTCCCTCCGACAGAAGCCCAAGTGCTAGGGTGCCGCCATCAGCTTCTCAGCCTTTCAAAGGCTTTCATTACCAACATCGTTACCCAGGGACATGCCTTTCAGGGACTTAAAAGCACTTATTCTCTACAAAAAGTAACTTCATATTTCATGCACAAAATGCCAACGGGCAGATTTAGGTTCAAAATGGAAAGAAAAATAATTATTCTAGTTCTGTAAATTATCAGGAATAAAACAGGCATTTCCCCTTGCCTTGCTACAAGGAAACAGATTTTTTTTCTCTATCAGTAATCAGGACAGTAGCTTTGATGACCCCACAGTTATAAAACTGCTCACTAAAGTTCTTTCCAAAGATGTTAAGAAGTAAGAAGTTGGCTCATTTTCCTGTACAATTTAAAGAAATATTTGTAGTATTTGTAGGAGTTATAGATGATATTGCAGACCCCTGTGACAATATTTAAAAGGTCTATTCTCCCATTTAAGAAGTTCTATCTTAGAAGGTAAAAGAAAAATCCCCATTATCCCTGAGAAAAAAGGAAAAAAACATAGGTGCTCCTACTTGTTAACAGAAGGCCCCGTGAGTGAGTTTCCAGCCAGACATTCTCGGAGAATGCATACAGACTGAGGCGGGTGTGAGGTGCGCTCACCTTCTCAGATACGTGTATTTAGTAGTTTAAGTAGTCACTCTGCAAAAACGCACAACTAACTACACAGCTGAACATTCTCCATTTTAAAATTCGAGACTGTCCTGAGAAGATGCTGTGGGACGTGAAACTATCGGGCACAGAAGATTTTTTAAATGTCAGCAAATTGTGGCAAGAGGAAAAGAGTGGGGAAACCTGTGGGAAAGTGAGAACGGGCAGGACAAAGCTGTAGTTACGAGCTGGGCCTTATTCTCGTTAAGTCAGTGGCCCCTGGCTATATGTATGCTGGCCTCTTATATTAACATTAACCAGATGCTGAAAAATAAAATTAAGAATGTCCCAAACTAATTTAAGCCTTTTAAGGAATAAATGACAGAAAACATTTCAGCTTCTTAATCAAGGAGTGCTATAATAGAATTTCAAGGCATTTTAATATAATTCGTTTACCCTACAGCAACTGTGCAATAAGCAAAATATAAAAGGAAAATAACAAAGGTTAACTTCCTACAGGGGCCAACAGACAAGATCTTTGCAGCACAGCAATTAACCTTCACATACTGGAGTCTTATTAAAAAGGCCATCAAAAACTCAGATTACTGAAAATCACAAATGTCACCAACAAAAGGAATGTTGATTAGACAGAGTCAAAGACCTTCCCAAAGGGCTGCTTTCTCTGAAGAAATTTCAGACTGTTGCTAGCACAGGTTGGCTGAGTTAAATCTCACTGATGGCTCTGTTAGAGAATGAGAATGCCCCAGTCAGTGCTGTTTTAAAAATGTCAAACACTGGAAGGGGAGAAAAAAACAAAGTACAACAATCTACTGTTCCCTAACATATATGGCTTAGCACCCAGAGAAAGCCTCTGTCCCCAAAAGAGACTTTCTACATAGGGTTAAGCTTCATCAAACGAGATGTAATCTTTCATTTTCAGGATATGTCGTTTCTTGCAAGGTCCTTAGAGGCAGAAGTTCCACTTGGATTCTAATACACATCTCTGTGAGCTCAGCTTCCTGAAAACACACACCTGCCGGGTTCTAGGTTCTCCCTTGCCAGTGACTGGACTCTACTTCACAGCCACCAGAATCGCACATAAACTATTAACATGATGAAAAACACAGCTACTGCTGCAAGTTTGGCGTAAGTGGACCGCATGTTCAAGTACTTCGCATCCTGGCGGTATTTCTTGGACAGACTGGACAAATTGTTTGCCTTTGAATCCAATGCTGTCAAAAAGAAAAAAAGGAAAACATTAATTAGTTCATGGAAGTATTCTATCAAATGTATTAAGACATAAAAATAACCAAAATGAATTGGCACTGTACCAAACAACCACAAAGCTTATTTTTATTTTAAAGGTAAAGCTGCATGTACTGATTAACTCATGATCCTAAAGCACCAAAAAAAAAAAAAAAAAATCTACAATGCATTTTAAAATTATCAGACCAAATTATGTTCAAATTCTTGAGGCTGCACAGTGAAGTGGTTAGAAGTGCAGGCTCTGGTCTCCAACTCTTTGATTCTAATTGCAGATGCACCAGCCAGGTGACATTGGTCAACTCAGCCTCTCTAAAGCCCCCGTTTCATCGTCTACATAATGGGGATAACAGAAACTATATCACAGGATCATAGGTACATGGGAATGGCTGTAAAGTGAGCACAATGTCTGCATATGGCAAACATTTGATAAATGTCAGCTTACATTAAACATCTCCATGATCTTTCAGTGGTCTAAATCATATTCTCTCATATTTTGAAAAATAACAATTCATGTAAAATAAGACTCAGATAACCAGAAAATTCAATGAACCAGACACAGAATATTAAACTATATCTCAGTGATGACTGCTACAAAATTTCTAAGATTCTCCACACAGTACAACCTATTATGACAGTAAAGCTATAGTAACAGGCACTAGAAAACCACCATCTACTAAATTTAGCTTTTTAGAATATTTTGTAACATTTCTTTGCCCTCCAAGGACATTTGTAATGTCTTTATTTTCTTATAATTGTTAACTGAGCACTTAGAGAAATAGCCAGATAGACACAGTCTAGACTGGACTAAAATAGAAGGCATATTTTAATAATAAAAACAAACTCAGTCTGACATAAATGAATTCTGATCAAACTTTTTACTTCTTTAAATTTTTGAAAAACTATTTTGCAATCTGAAAGTTTGTTCTTCCACAGAGAATGCTTCTGGAATATTTGAAGTTGCCTAATAGAGACTGGTTTTGATTGAGAAATGTGGCATTACTTAACACAGCTACTTCTAAGTTATCATCTTGTCTGTGAGTAAGTATAACACCTAGTCATGTTTAAAAAAAAAACCCAGCCCTGGCCCATGTTGTACAGTGGTTAGAGTGTCAGCCCGGGCACCAAAGGGTCATGGGTTCAATTCCTGGCCAAGGGCATGTACCTGGGTTGCAGGCTCGATCCCTGGCCCCAGTCAGGGCATGTGCAGGAAGCAAGCAATCTATATGTCTCTCTCACATCAATGTTTCTCTCTCTCTCTCCCTCTCCCTTCCACTTTCTCTAAAAATCAATGGAAAAAATATACTCAGGTGAGGATTAATAATAATAATAAAACAGTTATGGGATGAGAAATAATCATGACAATGCTGTAAGGAATCTTCTAGCCAGTCTACTGGAGTACACAACCCATTGATCAGAAGTTTTTAACTACTGTGTTTATTGCTAGTAACTAGGACAGGGTCTGGCCTATAGTCAATACATAAATATTTGCTAAACGAATCTAGATCTACTGAGAATAACTGGGCAGAGCAACAAGTATTAGGTTATGTGAAATAAGTAATAGCTAAGAGAATTCCTTTACATTGGAAACATTGAGAAGCACATGATATCATTAAGACAAAGCTACCAATTGGAGAAGTCATTTAGCAAATATGTGAAGGCACCATGTGAAGTGCTAGACGATACAATGATGGTCAAAACATGTTTTGTTTTTAATCCCTGTATGTGTGGAATTTATAGCCTATTAGGGTGACACCGGTGTGGCTCAGTGGTTGAGCATTGACCCATGCACCAAGAGGTCGCCAGTTCGATTCCCAGTCAGGGCACATGCCTGGGTTGTGGGCCTGATCCCCAGTGGAGGGCAATGAGGAGGCATCGATGTTCTCTCTCATGGATGTTTCTATCTCTCTCTCCCTCTCCCTTCCTTTCTCTCTATAGTCAATAAAGAAAAAATATTAAAAAAACAAAATCAAAACCCATGCCTTAAGAGAAACAGGTATATTTAGGCAGTAAAAATGGTCATAATTTGATCTTGCTTAAAGGACCCACAGGAACTATTCTTGGGTCTTAAATGCAAAGTAGACTAGCTATAATTTTAAAAATTAGAGAAGAAGGCATAAAATATGGATTCTTATTATAAAAAAGCCTAAAGAGAAAGAAAACATTATTTGAGGTAGGTTAATCTTTTCACTGCCCTTCAAATGTGCTCTGTTCAGAAATGCCATTCTTCCTCTAAATGCTACTCTTCACTCCTTCCTGATCTATTACATTTCAAGAAATCTTGCCTGCTCACTTCCCATTTATCTACTTCCTTCTACACTTTAATAGCTCTCATGTCTATATGTCTATTTAAAACTGTCATACACTGAAAATGGACAACTCCATGGGCTAAAAAGCAGTGTAGCTTTTAGTAAGCTACTCAACTTTTTTTTTCTTCTTTTTTTCCCTCACCTGAGGACATTTTTGCATTTATCTTCAGATAGAGCATGAGGGAGAGAGGGAGGAAGAAAAAGAGAGAAACATTGACATGAGAGAGAGACATCGAGTGGTTGCCACCCACACGACCCCAACTGGGCCGGGGACAAACTGCAACCAAGGTATGAGCCCTTAGTGGGAAGTCCGCGGGCTGACACTCTAACTGCTGAGCCCAACCGGCCAGGGTGCTACTTAACTTTTCTGAGCCTCTGCTTCTTTATCTGTAAAACTGGTTTGATACCACCCACTTTACTTGGGATTACTTTGAATAATAAATAAAATAAATGTAGTCCCTCTACCATATTGCCTAGCACAAAGTAATCCACTGATGTTTGTTTTCTTACATCATCTATAAATTTCTCTGTGACAATGTTTCTTATTTTCCCAATCAGATGAAGTTAATTCAGGGTATAAATGTACTTTTTTTTTAATCAGCATATCAGCTTTGTAGCAACCATCAAAGCACTAGGAGAGAATTCTTTACATTTTTGATAACTGACCAACATATAGTTTTTGAATTAAAAAAAATTCCTATGCAGGTCTACTTTATCCCAGGTAGAAACTATAAATCTGTTATAATGAAAATATACACAGACTCACTCAAAATTTGATTTTTAAAGAGTGTGAAGCTATATGCTGGGACAACTGCTTACTACTAACATAAAAGTTGAAATCTGCAATATATAATTTAAAAAATATTCATGAATACGTAACAAGGTTAAATTCAAGAAATATTCATTAAGATATCAAGTTGTGATCATTACTTTAAGTGACTAAAAGAAGTATATGCAATACACATAAAACATAAGCATACCTTTAAAGAGTACACACCCATATTAAACATTTAAGTAACATTTAAACATTAATATATTTATTAATATTAAATATATATTTCAGAAAAATTAGGTAAACAAGTATACACACATACACAAATACCCCCTTATGTGCCAAAACAAAACCCCGTACGTAGCTAAGTGCTTCAAGAGTTTAATGTGATGTGGCTGTAGGGTCAGAGAAAGCTTCTTCACAGAGGCAGTTCTTACCTAGATTTAAAGAACAGCTCTAGGATGACCTGACTGAACCAGAACGTTTGTGAGCTGAGGGAGGAGAGGAGAAGAGTACTGACTTTCTCTTCCATTGTAGAGAACACTGCTTTGAACATGACAGGTACTCAATAATGACAGAATGAAAAGAAGGAAGTTGAGACCAGACCAGACCTTATCTTGCAGTCAGAGGTTTTAGTTTTTCAGCAGAGGATTTTATGACATTTGATCCAGCAGCAGTCAAGTCTACCCAAGTGGCTACTCAGGAGACCATTGCAAGCGACAATTTCCTCTCATTCTTCTTTTCATTTCCCTTAACTTATGTGTTTCTGTAAATATTTACTTAATTTTATAAAAATCTTGGAAACAGTAATTGCATCTGATATAGAATAAGACCCTTACACTGTTCCAACTCAACAAAAACTAATCATGCTAGAAAAAAACATCTTACTGGAAGCTTTATAATATAATCTGTTTCTAAGAGATGAAGTCTTCTTACCAGTACTTGGTAGAATCTGAGAGCATAAAGGCACACGAATATAAGCTACTCTCGCCTATGAGCAACCCCTTCTTCATAAGATCTGCATTGCTCTTAGCTACCTGAGAGTGCTTCTCCTCGTTGTAACACTTCTTCAATATTGGCCACCATGAGCCTCTGCACATCTTGCAGTTCAGTGTTGATGGAGCCTAGGTTTCTCCGAGCACGGCTGTCAGTGTAGAGTTTCTTGGTTTTCTGAATGTAGGTCTCTAGAATGATGAAGAAAAATGACCATTAACAACTTCTTTCATGTCCATCAAGTACTGAAGTTAGGGAACAGGAAGTTCTGAGTTTAGTCCTGCATTGCGACTATCCTTGGTTAACCAAGCTATTGAATGAGTATGAAAATCTGAGTTTTGACTTCTTCATTTATAAAATGTAAGGATATAATTAGATGACCATTCAGGAGAAATGATCTCTGCACACCTTTGAATTAGAAGTATGTGCTCTCAGGATCCTTAGAGAAATTAAGACTCACTACAGTAAGCCTTTCCTGAAAGCAGAAAATTTCAAACTGTGTTCCGAGGACCCTGAGGGTTTCATTACTTAAGTCAACACATTGCCTAAACAGGATGCTGGCAACAATCTAGCACTTCTACAGCATAACAAGGCAAAAGAGTCACTCTATCATTAAAAGTTGAAAAAAATATCTTAAAGTATTTTCTTAAACATACATTCCCAATTTCACTCTGTTCGTAAACTTCAGGTAAAGCAAACATGTGTTAGAGAGTTTCCCAAATAACCACTATCAAACTAGTTTCATTCATGTTTCGGTCATGTCTATATTTCTCAGATCAATAAGAAGAATGACTTATTATTACAGATTATATTCTCAACATTTGGCAAAAATCTTAAACTATGTGTGCTGGATACGTTTCATGTGCCTTTCGATCTCCTCTCAACCTTCTGCACCCTGCTCTGCCTTAGAAAGCTGACCTACAAGGACGGTATCGATGGGCTTCTTGCCCCATTGCTTCCAGTTAGCTTCAGTCAAAGGGGGAGCCCCAAGAGTAGAAAAGAAAAGCGGGCAGTGACATCAGGGTATTTATTCCTCCAGATCCTTCCTGAGAAGTCACCTTGGGCTGGCAGTGTCCCTCCACCAAGTTACAGCTCAAGCTGGCCTTCTCTATACATTTTTTCCTTCCCAATCAGAAATTGCTCCTTGCTCTCATTCCTTCAGGCCTAGTGATGGTAACAGTTACTGTGTTACAGGTCCCAGTACCTTGAAGTTTACCTATAACCCTTTCATGTCTTTGTATATAATCCTTTAACCTAATTTGAGTGTACCAACTATTTCCTGTGTGACTTTGACAACGGCAGTCATTTTTTTTCTTGGGTTTCCTGGACTGCTATTGTCTACAAAAGTAAATCTGAAAAAAGAGACATTAAAAAAAATTAGCACTTGGAGAGTCTGGAGTTATAAAACACTGGAGTATTTTGCTAAATTTTATGTATTTCTAAAGAGTAAGATGACTTTATCTAAAAAAGTCACTTCAGAAATTTAGAGGTAGTAAAAACCAATTTCTTTAACTAAAAAGGTCAGTGGTGTACTCTGATCATACTTGTTCTCACTTCCTCTCCTTGCTGTACTTAGGATATGTCCTTTGATCTATTGCCATCAGAAAGTTTAATAAGTCTGAGCAGTGATGAGTCTATAATTCTTACACAAATATCAACTCCCATGTTCACTACATCTGCATGTAGTAAATGTTATCCCTAATACCATCTATCTTGTAGTACTTTTCTTTAAAATTAGAGAATCTTATTTTTCTGAAAAACAAAACAAAACACCACTCTTTCTGATTTCTAAATTCTGACCTCTATAAAATAAGTGAGTGTGTGTGTATGTGTCTGTGGGTTTGAAAAAAAGAACTCAGCTATTATATAACAATCAAGTAGATCTTTAGGCACAGTTCTTGACCTTAATGAAGAATCAAACAAATAACCGAAAAGGGCAAAGGGTAACAAGTCAAAAGATCAAAAGACGAAAGAAAATTACTTATAAGAAGGAAACCCCATTCATTTAAAGGACAAAAAGAGGTAGAATGGAAGAAGCAGAATCCAAAACTTCAGTAACTAAACATTAGTAAAATTATGTGAAAATCAGCCCAACTGGTGTGGCTCGACTGGCTGAGCACTGTCCCATGCACCAGGAGGTCATCAGTTTGATTCCCAGTCAAGGCACATGCCCAGATTCTGGGCTCGATCCCCAGTAGGGGGCATGCAGGAGGCAGCCGATTGATGTTTTTGTCTCTGTCTCCTTCTGCCTTCCTCTCCTTGAAATCAATAAACATATATTTTTAAAAACTATATAGTTTTTCCATATTCCTTGCTCCCTTGATAGAGAGGTGAGGAGCAAAAACTTACCAAACTCAATAAAGCAATAGGGTCTAGACACAGTGGGCACCTTCTTTCCATACTGTTCATCAAACTCTGAGTGTAAATCTTCTAGGTAGGCAAAAGCCAACTTCTTAGGGAAGGTAGCTTCACACAAAACCAAATAACACACCCCTTGCTCAATAATGTAGCTGGAGAGACAAAAAAGCAAGAAAAACGTTGTTTGTAGAATAACAATATTTCTGACGATTTGAAGCAGATTCTCAGTGCCATACAGACTTTTAAAAAATATTCTAATCTAATTCCTTGGAGGCTAACTAAATCAGAAAGCCAATCAAACCACAAATCCTTGGAATCAGAAAGCAAACATCTTTCCATTATTAGAAGTATATTCTAAAAGGAGTACTTAGACATGGTTATTATAACTATTCACTATATAATTCTTCAATTAAAATATCCTAATACCTAAGGCTTTTTCTTAAAAACTTGGAGTTGTGACTCCATCCATCTTTTACGTATGTTAAACTAGTATACACAGTTTTAAGCTCCTTCCAGTTGTGAGAAAAACAGTGAAACTGAAAAATTTCGTGGATATTTAAAAGTGGGAATTTAGCCCTGGCTGGTTTGGCTCAGAGGTTGGAGCATTGGCCTGCAGACCAGAGTCCTGGGTTCGGTTCCTGCCAGGGACACATACAAAAAATAAATAAATAAAAGTTGGAATTTAATGCCACAATATTGCTGGGTACAGAAAACAATGACCTCAGGACTAATAATATCCCCTAATATCTAGGGTAGGAGAACTCTGTCTCAGCTGGAAACTATCCACTAACAGAACTGGCTTTCTCTTGTGAGAGTGAGCTTCCCGGCATTCTGGAAGGGGCTATGATTGAGAGGCTAATAAACCAGGACAAGCAGAATAGGGAAACAGACAGGCAGTAAAAAAAAGCAGTTTATAGCCATCTAATCAACTGCAAAATACTATCTTTCTGAAATCAAGGACACTTAAGAGTAAATGGTGTGCACTTCTCCTCCCCACCCAGAGAGTAAATAGATTAAATCACCCTCCTTGGGGAGACAGCAGAAATCCAATTAGTGCCATTTGTGCAACTACACCCAAGGATAGATGAAGTTAAGGGAATAAATCTCATTTTGGCACATCAGCATAAAATAGATGAATATTCTATTAAGATCCTCCCCTAGCCCTGGCCTGTTGGGTTCAGTGATTAGAGCATCAGCTCAGCAGACCAAAGGGTCTCTGGTTCAACTCCTGGTCAAGAGACGTACCTGGATTACAGGTTGCAGGTTTGAGGCCCTGCCCCAGTCGGGGTCATTCGGGAGGCAACCAGTTGATGTCTCTCTCACTTCGATGTCTCTTTCTCTCTCTCTCTCTCCCTTCCTTCCACTCTATCTTCTTTTTTATCCTCACCTGAGGTCATTTTTGCATTTATTTTAGATAGAGCGAGAGAGAGAGATGGAGGAAGAGAGAGAGAAACATCAACATGAGAGAGATACATTGAGTGGTTGCCACCCACACGATGCCAACTGGGGCTGGGGACAAACTGCAACTGAGGTACATGCCCTTAGTAGGAACCGAACCCGAGACTCTCTGGTCCACAGGCCAATGCTCTAACCGCTGAGCCAAACTGGCCAGGGCCCTTCTACTCTATCTTAAAAAAAAAAAATCAATCCACTCTATCTAAAAAAAATCAATGGGAAAAATATCCTCTGGTGAGGATTAAAAGAAGAAAAAAGATCCTCCCCTAAACTCCCAGCCTTTAAAACATTCAAAACAAAAGTCCCAGGGAATGCTCTCCCTCCTAGGAGCACCCCGGAGCCTTTCCCTTACCTGTCTTCCTCCCCAACAGGAATGCATCTCCTAAACTCTAAGGGACCCCACAGAGGCTGGCAACCAAGGAGCGATGGGCAGCTTGGCAGCTCTTCCCGGGCTAACCCTCTGACCCTGTCCACAAGGCCCCCTCTTCTCTGACTTTTTAGTGAGCTAAAGTAGCCAGCCTAGCTCATTTCCCCACCTAGTCCCTTTTCCTGTTGCTTCTTCTATCCTATGCCCTTCCTCATTTCACTGGCCTCAGCTTTAATAAATGTCCTCTAAAAATCACCTGGACTTTTATCATGAGATCAATCCTGCATGACGTCAAGAACACACATACTACCAGCTGGTCCTAGGTAGACCTGCTCAAGGCCAGGTTTCCTTTCTGGTAACATGATTACATGTCTGCGATATTCGTGGAAAGAGATTAGGCTACTCTGGTTTTCAAATGTCTTTAGCTATTGTACACTTTATTTCAGCAAAAATTACATTACATTCAGAAGACTAATACCTATAGAAAATAAAAAAGTTCTTTAGTTTAAGTAGGTGTCTAAGGGCCCAAAGCATCACACATACCCCCCACCCCGCTCCTAAGGCATCCCAGGACTCCACAGAGTAGTGTTTATGGTCTATTATATGATCATTCAGGCCCTTTAAAATAGTAAGGATGGTGATAATGATGGTGATAATAATAATACTGCTGTTGTGTCTTTTGCTGTTTCATTCCTAACCCATGGTAGAGATAATGGTACTATATAATTAAGTGCCTGTACTTTTTTGATGTTAAAAATAAGACTTATAGAAAATGTTTTATATACTATACAAATTAATACCTTATGAAGCTTAATAGCCACTACTTTATTCATCAATAGGTCAGGGCTTTTTGTTTTGGTTTTATATACTTGTTTGCTTGTTTTTGATGGGTGAAGGTATTTTCTTATTCCCCTTCTACCTTAAATACCTTAGTATCTGAGTTCCTAAAATAGCAAGGTTATTCAGCTAATTCTTTTTTTTTTTTTTATCCTCACCCGAGGACATTTTTGCATTTATCCTTAGATAGAGTGGGAGGGAGAGAGGGAGGAAGAGAGAGAGAAACATCAACGCAAAAGAGACACATCAACTGGCTGCCACCCACACGACTCCAACTGGGACCGGGGATGAACCGCAACTGAGGTACGTGCCCTTAGCGGGAACCAAACCTGGGACTCTCCCATCCGTGGGCCAACACTCTAACCGCTGAGCCAAACCGGCCAGGGCTCAGCTAATTCTTTTTTATTTTTCTCTGATCTTCTTGTCCTCTCTTTTCTTTAATCCTTCCTGTTTTATCACCTTCAAACTTAACATGTATTAAACATTTAATACCAATTATTTGTAGATAATTTGCAATCCAATAAAGTACCTTTGATCCTCTCTCAGCAGTGTTCATTAGCTATAACCACTGATTAAGGTACTCTTTTTTTTTTTCCTCACCCGAGGACATTTTTCCATTTTTTGTTCAGACAGAGCGGGAGGGAGAGAGAGGAAGAGAGAGAGAGAGAAACATCGATGTGAAGGGACACATCGAGTGGCTGCCACCCTCACGACCAACCAGGGCCGGGGACAAACTGCAACCGAGGTACGTGCCCTTAGCGGGAACCGAACCCGGGTCTCTCTGTACCGCAGGCCGACGCTCCAACTGCTGAGCCAAACCGGCCAGGGCTGATTAAGGTACTCTTAAAGTATCTTTTATAATTCTCTTTTTCCTAAGTAATAACTAACACTTTTAACTATTCTCTATGTACCAGGCAAGATATTAAGAGACATACATGGATTCCTTTCACATATAATCAACACTGTGATTCCTTTCCCTACTTTATAGAGTAAACTGAGGCCTGGAGAAGTATAAGTGCATTTTTCAAGGTTATGCTGTTAGTAAATGTTTGAGCAGGGTACTAACCTACACGTCTCGTTCTATGAAGCTCCTAAAGCAAAAGGTATCTATTATTGCATGACAAGTACAGCATTCACTAGACACAGGATAACAGGATAAATTATTGTGTGCAAGTTGAATAAACAAACCAAGACTTCAGTTTTGCAGAATTAGAGCCAAGGAAGTTGCTTCCATGAAGAGACTATACTTTTAAAGTTATCTTTACCATTCTCATCAGGTGTTACTTACATTTACTGTATTTCATACAAATGACCACAAAGAAATCAGGATTACACTCACTGAAAACTCATGGTGTCAGCTTCCAAGGTACATCTGGTAGGGGACTGTTCATTCAACTTTCGAAAGAGTTGCTTAGCCTGACTCTGGTACTTTTGAAGGTCCCGGAAGGCCTGAAAGAAGACACCTCCATTTAAGCATTTTCCATAAACACACCCAAAATACTATAAATTAGTGAGAAACATCAGATTATGAGGACACTGTGAATAAGGTCCTTCATTTACAGGTTAGTAAGATTCATTTAAACAAACAAGCAAACAAACAGGCCTACTTTTAGAGCAAAAAGGAAGATCAAACTCCTAGTTCTCAAGAATACCATATTAGTTATTTGCTAAGAAGCAAAAGTGTAGTTTTCAACTATATTTAAAGCACTCTTAAGTTTCTTGTGCTTATAAAAAATAACCTCTTTTTAAATGTTTCAATTACAGTTTACATTCAATATTATTCTGCATCAGTTTCAGATGTACAGCACAGTTTCAGATGTACAGCACAGATCAGACAATCATGTACTTTACACAGTGGTCCCCGATATTTCAAGTACCCACCTGGCTCCATCCACAGTTATTACAATATTATTTATTATATTCCCAATGATGTAATTTACATCTCTGAGACACTCTTAACTTTCAATCCAGTGTTCTTTCCCCTATTAGGTCAGTGCCTCCTCCTAACCCATTTCACTTGCATAGTTACTGGCACCAAAATGCACAACGCGTTCTATACTCAGGGGAAAATCCTGGGAACAACAAACTGATGAGTCTCATTTTTATGCTGGAATATCAAGCAAAATGTTCCACAAAGTGTTATGGTACTTAGCATTTCAGCAAAACCGCACCAATGACCGCAAATTCTTATGGACACCGTAACTACAACCAAGTAAAAATGAACAAGAGTAAGGGCAAAGATTGGAAAGTCAAATACCCTTTACTGAATCCCTATTTGGTTCCCATGCCTGGACAGCAAAAGTTTGGAAAGCAAAAAAAAAAGTTTGGTATATGCATACAAAAATAAATATAATGTTCAGATGCTACAATTACAGGTAATATTTCCTGAACAATTTCTAAATGATTTACAATTTTATTTAAAAAAATTAAAAAGGAAGGGAAAAGTCTACTGGGGGAAGAGCAGTGTCATCAAAAGGAGAAAAATCATATCTCACTAATCTACTAGATCCAAAAGGGCAAAGAACGCATGAAGAATGAGAAGCAAATATACATTATTTATTTACCTACATATTGGGGGTTTGGAGGGAGGAGCTTTTGCCATGTGATGGTAAGGAATTATTTTATTTTAGGATTACTTATTTTTGTCTGAATGACAGGATAGTCTCCACTTGATAGATGTTTAATAACTACATGTTTAAATATAAGTGTTTATACAAGGTTTGCCCTGGGTCTGGATCTGAGGTCTAATATTGAGAAAGTACAAAGTGAAACTGTAAAATTCATGTAGTAAACTGCTGAGCTAAGAGTAAAACACGGAAGCAATAAAAAAAATGGTTTAAGTGGCAGATAAGCAATGGACAAGTAAGTATAGCTATATTTAAAATGGTGAATTGAAAATGCAAATCAAAACCACAGTAAGATATCACCACACACCTGTCAGAATGGCTAATATAAAAAAGATAAGAAATAGCAAGTGTTGGTGAGAATATAGAGAAAAGGGAACCCTCCCCCATTCACTGTTGGCAGGAATGTAAATTGCTGCAGCTACTACGAAAACAGAATGGAGGTCCCTCGAAATATTAAAAATAGAACTATCATATGATTGAGCAATTCCACTTCTTGGCAGTTATTCAAAGAAAATGAAAACAGTAATTTGAAAAGATATATGCGCCCCTAATATTCATTGCAGCATTAATAACAATAGCCAAGATACGGAAACAACCTGTGTCCATCAGTGGATGAAAGGATAAAGAAGATGTGACATAATACACAATGGAATACTATTCAGCCATTAAGAAAATGGAATCTTACCATTCGTGACATCATGGATAGACCTTGAGGGCCATTACACAAGTAAGTCAGAGAAAGACAAATACTGTATGACCTCACTTATATGTGAAATCTAAAAAAACAAAACAAAACAAAAAAGCAAAACAAAAACAAAATCACAGATGTACAGAACAGATTGGTGGTTGCCAGAGGGAAGGGGAGTGGAGGTAAAAACGGGTGAAAGGGATCAAAAGGTACAAATTTCCAGTTTTAAAATAAGTAAGTCATGGGAAGCTAATGTCCAGCATGATGACTAATATTAATAATACTGTACTGCATATTTGAAAATTTCTAAGAGTGAATTTTAAATGTACTTATTACAAGAACAGAAACTGTAACTATGTATGGTGAAGGACAGTAGCTAGATTTAATGTGGTGACCATTTCACAGTATACACAAATATCCAATCATTGTGTTGTATACATGAAACTAATGTTATAGGTCAATTATTCCTCAATAAAAACAAAATAAAAATGACATGGTAAACTGAAAATTTAAATATGAATAAGAAAGTAACAAGCATGAGGTGAAGCAGGGCAGTCAGGCAGAGACCACTAAAACTATCAATCTGTATATTTATCTTGTTCTGCACTGTCCTTACAGCAACGATTTGTTATAACGCTGTTCACTTGAGAAAATCTTCTCTATCAACATATATATGTATATGTATACATGTACAAGTATATATGTATATATACAGTTTTAGATAATAAAGTAATTAACATGCTATACTATCACTAAATAATATTGCATATATGTGTGTGTATATTATCTATCTATCTATCTATCTATCTCTTTCTTTTTATGACTGGTCAGCCAGTAAAGGAGAATGAATACTATCACATGCTTTGCACTAGTGCACAATACTCTACATTCCTGAGTTTGAACAGTACTTGCCAATCTGTTTCCCCATGCCATTATGTAGCATTCAGAAGAGTTCTGACCCCACAGCAATAGGTAAAAAGGATGCAAATAAAGTTGGAAACACTACTAAAATGCCAAGAAGTAATATAAATGTAGATTAATGATTTTCAAGCTTGACTTCACACTAGAATCACCTAAAAAATCTTAAAAAAAAACAAAAAACTCATGCACAATCTCCACTCCCAAACCAATTAAATGAGCACCTTGGACATGGAATTCATACACTGCTATTTTTAAAATATCCACAACTACGGATGTTGTTTTCTGATAGCTAAAGGCAGGTGAGCACCTTAAAGTTTATTTTATATTTGAGTCAAACTTGCTCCAGGGCTTGGGGCCAAAAAGGAAAGGGACCAGCATTTGAACCCAAGCAGTGTCTGGCTCTGGATTTCCTGCCCCTAAGCATGCTATACCACCTTTTCAATTACAACTGCTTCAGTGACAGCAGATCTGCCTTCTGGGAGATATTTTACCATTTAATATTATGTTGAGTTCATAGGAAATGCTCAAGAAACTATGTGGCAGCTTGGATCTAGGTCTCATACAACATAATCACTGCTTTACCAATAAATTCTCAAGTTTGCTTTCAAGATTAAAGTCACAAAGAGCCTGTAGTTAGCCAGTCTACCTAAAAATAGTTTGATATCCTAATTCTGTTTCCTACTTTATCAAGAACAGACTTGAACCATGTATACACTGTAATGAAAAGATATCTGTTGGTAATGCAAAATGAAGAGGATGTGAATGTCTGGACACATTCTGAAACTAAGATCTGAGTTCATCCAGTAGCATATTTAGGATTTGGTTCTGCATATAATATAAAAAGTACAGGGTAACCTGGCTGATGTGGCTCAGTGGTCGAGTGTTGACCTATGCACCAAGAGGTCTCCAATTAGATTCCTGATCAGGGCACATGCCTGGGTTTCAGGCTCAATCCCCAGTGTGGAGCATGCGAGAAGAAGCCACTCTATGTTGTTTCTCTCTCATCGATGTTTCTCTCTCTCTCTCCTTCTCCCTTCCTCTATCTCTCTAAAATCCATAAAGAAAAATAATTAAAAATTTTTTCCATCTTAAAAAAAAAAAAGTACAGAGTAGTAATTTGCCACACAATTATAATACTTTTTATTGGTTTCACTAGGACTACTGAATGTATCAAATGCCATCTTCTGCCTTTACAAGAATGTTTAGGTAAACTCTTATCATTTTTAAATTCCTGTTGAACTCAACTGGTCAAAGGCCAGAAGTACCAGAACCAATTACTTTCCTCTGAAAGCAATTACAGTAAGGTGATTAATCAAAACTCATTTACTGTAAATAGACTATCTGCTTTCTTGGAGCTCCCTGTTGCCTAGTAGGTTAGCTCTTCAAGTCCACAGAGCTGGAAGAAGAGGATTCATTTTGAGGTAGAACAGAAAGGTAGGTGAAGAAATTGCAAATACCTGAAAAGGAGAAATAAAGCAGAATGGAAGAAAGGAAACAGATAATCAATTAGAGAATCCATATTTGAAGAGAAAAGTTCATCTACTTGCCCTAGGTCTACATTTCGAGTTAAGCACAGAGGAAATAATGCATAAGACACTCTGCCTACATCATTTAAAAATTTTACTCTCTATTGTTATTATCTGAATAACCATTCAACTGCAGTAATAAGTCAGCTTGCACAGGGACTGGCACCTAGTAACTATCTAAAATATGGTTTCTATTTTATCAGCATAAATAACTGAAAAGATACACTGAATTATTTGGCCTGGACAATTAAGGTACTTACTATAAAACTATTTGGTCAAGATATCCATTTCTTAAAAAGTTATTTCTGTACTCCTAAGATGTAAACACATTATTAAAAAGTCTTAGAACAAGGTAGTAAATATTAGGTACTAAGGCTCTGATCTAGAGTCAGATAAATATTGATTAAAAACCAGTGGTTCTCAACCAGGGTTGATTTTGCCCCAACCCCCAAACTCCACCCGGGTACATCTGGAAGTGTTTGGAAATATTTTTGGTTGTCACAACTGAAGGGAGGGTGAAGGTAGTGTAATTGGCATCTAAGGTGTAGAGAGCAGGGATGCTGTTAGACATCCAAGAATGCACAGGACAGTTTCCCACAACAATGAATTATCCATTCCAAAATGTCAACAGTGCCAAAGTTAAGAAACCCTGATAAAAAAATTCCGTTGTGCTCATCAGAGTGGCTCAGTTGATTGAATGTCATCCTGTGCACTGAAAGGTTGCTGGTTCAATTCCCAGTCAGGGCACATACCTAGGTTTCAGTTCGATCCCCGTTCGGGGCACATACGGAATGCAACTGATAGATGCTTCTCTCTAATATTAATTCTCTCTCTCTCTCTCTCTCTCTCTCTTCCTCTCTCTAAGCATGTCCTTGGCTGAGGATAAAAATAAAAGAGAAGAAAAAAAATTCCATTGTGCTATTTATAAGTTGTGTGACTTTACTCAAGAAACCTATCCTCTCTAAGCTTCAGAGCTTCCTTATCTATAAATGGGGATAATAGTACCTATTGGTTTGAAAATGTAATATCATGCGCTTAACAGACTTAACACAGTACATGGTATGTAGTAAGCATGCCATAAACATTCTGTATGCTACTGTAATAGTAAAAATTAGTTTACAAGTGATATTTTTCTTTCTTTCTTTCTTTTTTTTAAGGTATGTGCCCTTAGCAGGAACCAAACCCGGGACTCTCTGTTCTGCAGGCCGACACTCAACTGCTGAGCCATACTGGCCAGGGCTACAAGTGATATTTCTACAGATAATAAAAGTTAACTTTATCATTCAAAGTCAACATTCCAAAGTCTCCATGGAATTACAATTACAAAAAATATTTTTGTGTAAAGTTTCTTTCCTTGTTAATTGAACCCATCTTGGTAGATGGATATCTAATTTGGAATTAAATTAAGAAACACACAATAATATGTCAATTTTTCAATATAGTAGCAAGGTAAAGAGTAAGGGTTTACTAATATTAAGCTGACTTCAAATCTATTTTGGATTCTCTGCCCATATTGAAATTCAGTGTAATAGTTGGAAAACTGACCAGATTTCTCAAATGACATATCCTTTAAGAAATATTTCCCCATACCATCCTGCTTGTCCAAATCACGTTCCATTTTAAACTCTCATTACTTCTGCAGACTGGTCCTAGAAAATCTTAACAAATTGGAAAAGAGAAAAAGATTTCACAATTTAAAATTCAGGGCATGCTTCATTTTTTTTTCACATTTTATATGAATGTTTAAACTTTGCTTTGTTGAATGAAAACATTTCACCTGGCATGGCCTACAACTTCAAAATCTGTATTACTATTCTTCTAAAATGGAAAGTAAACACATTTCTACATCAAACCTACAAAGGCATATAACCAAAGAGAAACCTCCTTTATTATTAGACACTACTGTCAGTTGTGATGTCATTTCTCCTGGAAGTTTCCTGATCTCCCCAAATCAACTTAGATACCACACCTTTTCCATGTTCAACCACAGAACCTTCTTCCTCTTCCATAGCAGTTACACTACATTATAATTGTTTATTAGTTATCTGGATTTTCCACTAAACTCTAAGCTCCATGAAAGTAGGGGCTATGTTCCCTAATCCCTCGCGATAGCAACAAGCATGGCACATTTGATGTGCTTAGTTTTCTCATATGTATATGAATGAAAAGTCCAAGAAAAGATATGTGCAAAATAATTTTTTTCTACAACTCATCTTATTTTTAGTCCTTGAGGTTTTTTTTCTAAAACTACTCAGGTTGCATGAGAAAGTAAGATAACATTGACTACTTGAAACGTTATAAAAAGCTCATTCTCAGCCTCCCTTTTTCAGGGACCTCCCAACCTTGCTCCTGAATCTTGTTTCACACCAGAAATTTCCCCTGTGAGTCTAAGGCACAAAGGAGCTATCTCTCAAGATGTCTGGAGTGGTTGTTTTTTTTAATCAATTCAATACATTTTTGAGCACCTACTAGCATAAACATGCTGTTGTAAAAGCTATGTTAAACAGAGATGACTAAAAACTGCCATTTGCCTGCTAGGAAACTCTACTGAAAGATAAGAAAAAAAATAAAAGTATAAGGCCTCACAGGAATAAAACAGAGGGGTTATAATTCCAACCGTAAGAATTTACTGAAGGAGGTGAGAATTGGGCATAACCTTGAAAGAAAGTACTGTACTGAACTTCAAGCAGGTGCCTATATGTGGCAATACTACCTCACCCACTTTGAAAAGATATCAGCAAGGTAGGTCAAGGATCAGGTGCCTGAGTTGAAGAATTTAGAAGCCGATTTAACCCAGGACCTGTCAGTCAACCTTATTAGCAACCAAAATGTAGAAATCCTGAATTTTAACAAAGTCCCTAATGAGTTACAGAACAACAGAGGATCACAATCACCCGAACCTATCCATTCTCCAGAGCGTTTTGTTTGTTTTAAGAGAAACATGTAACACAAAAATATACCTCCGCCTTCAGAACAGATTTATTCTAAGAGTAGTCTCTCCAAAGTCTAAAGATAAAAGAGCACTTTAGACGGTGGTGTCGCAAGGGTCTCCCGCGTCCTAAGAAGGAATCGGGTGCTCAGAGCACAGCACCCTGGCAGGGGCTCGGGGTCGCGGGGATATAATAGCTCACCTGCTCGTCCTCCTGTATCGAGGCGGCCAGCGGGAGCCCGTCCGCCACTCGGGCGATCATCGTGAGCAACAGCATCGTCACAGATTTCAGGGACCCAACACTGGGCCGCGCAGCTGTCGGGTTCCTCTTGATTTCCTCCGCCGCTACAACAGTTATATCTCTATCTCAGTTCCCGAAGATCCAGCGACTTGCGTCTCCGCTTCCTGCTGAGGTGGCCGGAAACAAGCTCCAGAGCTTTCAACTACCGGTCCCCGGAATTGGCTTCCCACCGGGAACCACAACTACCGGAACACTAGTTCCGACGTCTTCCCCTCGCCTTCAGAAACTTCCAAGGGCCCATCACTTTTCTGAGTTTCCAGCTTCCAATAAGCCTTGTTGGCGTAGCACACAAACTGAAAAGGAATGTTCTAGTTCCTGAAACTTGAAGTTTGGAGGGAGGGCTGGGAAGGAGGGGGGGAATTAATGGGTACTTAGATGAAGGGTATGCAAAATAAAGCAAAATCAGGTTATGTATTTTCATCTTTAATTTTTCTATTTTCTATATTATATATTCTATACATAGTATATATGTGTATATTTCTAGGCAGATATTTTTGTCTTTTTTTTTTCTTCTTGTTTGTTTATGCTGTACCACCAGATTCTTGAAGCTTCTGGTTTAAAAAAAAAAGAGAAAAAGGGGCCCTGGCCGGTTTGACTCAGCAGTTAGAGCGTGGGCTACCAAACGAAGAGTTGTGGGTTTGAATGCCTGTCAAGAGCAAGTACCTTGGTTGCAGGTTCCATCCTGGCCTGGTGGGGGTCCTGCGGAAGGCAACCAATGGATGTGTCTCTCTCACATCCATGTCTCTCTCTCTCCCCCCCCTCCCACTCTATCTAAAAATCAATGGGAAAATATCCTCTGGTAAGGATTTAAGAAAAGATATATATTATATATGTGAATAAATGACTGATTACAGGACCTCATAAATCACCTAGGTGTCACTCTTCCAAAAGCTGGGATCTCTCCTATATCTATCATAATAGGTAGCAGGGTAGCTTTGCTAGAACTTCCAGTAGCTGGGTATTGATTTTTATTTTTGTAGAGAGAGTGGAAGGAAGGGAGGGAGGGGGAAAGAGAGGGAGAGAGAGAGAAACATTTATGTGTCCATCGATTAATTGCCTCCAGGCGGGGGATCGAACCTGCAACCCAGGTACGTGCCCTTGACTGGGAATTGAACCTGAGACTCTTGGTGTGCGGGACGCTCTAACCATTGGGCAACAGGTTAAGCAATTCTTGAGAACCTAATTATATGCCAGAAGCTGAGCTAGGATTTGAACATGAATAACAGTCCTATGGCCCTTTCTACCCCCAGACTAAACACTGTCCTTAGGAGAAACAGTTTTAGAGTAGCTCCTGTCCTAATTACATGATGGCTTAAATGGAAAACAGCATTTCTCAGCGGGAAGTCTTAGCAAACAAAAATAGATAGCCACTATATCTAGACTGATAGCTAGCCATGTGCAGTATGCCGAACTGGTTATTAAAAAACTGAAACGCTTTCTTACAGATTAGTAAACAGCTGTTGCCCTTAAAACCCCCCTTTCAGCCACCACCTACCACCACTACATCTTCAGAACTCTTCTGGTTCTGCCTCAGCAGTTCCCCCGTATTAGGCTCTGATTGGTCGGTTTCTCTGCCAGTCAGCTTCAAAAACTCCTCCTCCTAGGTGGCCATTGGCTACCTCGAGGAAATCCCGAACGCCCCGCCTTCACGTTGGCGCCTGCCCTTCGGCCACGCCCCCAGTCTGATGCACGCAGTAGCCCTGTCCAGGCTGAGAAGCAGCCGCTCAGATGGACGTAATGCTGGGGTCTGTGCTGGTGGTAATTTTGAAAGATCATCCCTAAGTCTTACAGTGCGAGCTCCGTGGAGGCAGGTATTTGTCTTGCTCATTCTTGAGTTCGCTCACAGACCTTACTTGTGCCTATGCACACAGACAGTCCGGACATTGAAGTGAAAAGTATAGATTTGGGGAGGAAGGAGGAGAAAAGATCAAAGTGCGTATTTTAAGTAATGTGAAAGCCACTATTTAAAAGAATTACTACTTTAGATAGCCTGCTTCAAATATTGAACCTATCTTCTAGAAGAAACCTCTTGAAACTGCGTCTTTCATCGTGTCTGTTTGGTCTCTCTACTTTGTCAGGAAAGCCAGGTGCAGTTTGGAGTTTGGGGTGGTGGTTGTTAGGGTGGGGAGGTGTGGTGTTGAAGATAGTTGAGGTAGTTTTTATAGTATATAAATATGTTACTGAAATTAAAAATAATTGTTAACAGATTTCTTTCTTCCCCTACTAGCCCCTAAATCCTTTCAGAGCAGAAAAAGTAGTCATTTGTTATTCTCCAGTCTCTAGTGTCCTGTGCCTGAAACTTAGCAAATGCTCAATTAATGTTTATTGAATAAATGACTAAATGAATGGTATGCTCATGGATTGAGACAATACTTCATTGATTGTATACAGCACAATTCTCAGTGGTGCTGTACTAAGTGAAGACATATCCATAACCATTTCCTTCATCCAATTAGTTATTCAACCAATATTTACTGTTCAAGGACTATGGGCTAGAAAGAATAGCAGGCACTGGGTAAACAAAGGAGAACAAAAGAAACATGCTGTTTGCTGGTAGAGGTTACATTCTACCTGGTTCTGTCCCTCTCCCATTACCTCCAAAGCCACCTGTACACCCATTCCTTTCCCACTCCTCAGTTGGGAATAAAATCTTTGGGTGGGGATTTTTTTTTATACCCTGAGTGTCTACCCAGATTGTCCTTCATACCTACAGCCCTACTTCCTTCTGTGGAGTCCAAGTGGATTGAGTTGTTTCTAGCAGCCATTACAATTTCCTGATCTCAGCTGCTCTTGTCTCAAGAACTTTCACTGTTGGTTGGCTTCCTCCTCTCAGTCCTTAGCTCCTAAGTCTTTATTGGACCCTTTGTCTTCTATCCAAACTGGTCTTTCAGAAATTAATGAGCAACTTTCTCTCTGAGTGATTTTCTTTACAATCTTAAGAGTCAGATCCTTCAGTTATTACGAATCTTTGTTGTACTTTATTGTTTAAAAAAAATTAACAGGCCCTGGCCAATTTGCTCAGTGGTTAGAGCGTCTGTCCGCGGACCAGAGAGGCCTGGGTTTGGTTCCTGCTAAGGGAGCATACCTCCATAGCAGTTTGTCCCTGGCCCTGGTTGGGGTCATGCGAGTGGCAGCCACTCGATGTGTCTCTCTCGCATTGATGTTTCTCTCTCTCTCTGGCTCTATCTGAAGATAAATGCAAAAATGTCCTCGAGTGAGGATTAAAAAAAAAAAAATTATCAGCCTGACTTGTTCAGCTTTACCTGCCAGAAAACTAAATCCAATATGTAATAAAAGGTGACAAAATAGAGTACAACCTAACTTGCTGCTAATGCTTTCTTGTGGTGAATTATCTACCCTCCAAAGACACAATTTTTGTTAATCAGTTTCTTGTGGTTGTCCTTCCTCAGCTCCCTAGCCAACCCTCTCACTCCATCACTATCTGATGTGGTACCTTTTCCTCCCTATTTTGTTAGGGAGTATGATTCTCTGGTTCTGGAAATCTGACGGTCAGATTTAAAGTTCTATGTACCATTTCTCTAGGAGGCCTACCTCAGAACCCTTAAGCAGGTGATTATCATCATCTCAAAAGCAATTCACTTTTTAAAATTTGTTATTTATTTATGCAGCCAGTTGGTTCGTGAGAATATTACAATGGCAGTTTTGAATCAGGGTTTTACGGGATTACTTAAACAGTCCTTTTGTCTTCTACATTGAGATCAAACTGGGAAATAGACACAGGAACCAAAGAGAGAAATAATATTACTTTTATTACTGATCAAACAAAGTGAGGAACATGGATTTCGATCTGTGATGACCTAGAGGTCTTGCTAAAAATTTACCCCAGAATTAGGCAGACTTACCCATCGAACTGGGAAACAACAGACCTTCCCCAGAGAGGCAGGCAGGCTCCTTACTACATGCTAGAGACCAAACCAGAATGTTCCTACACTGCGGCCAGCATCTTCTCAAAAATACTCAGCTATTACTAGGTACAGCCATACACAGAGGAGGACCTAGGCCCTGCCGGTGGGCAAAAGTAATCTTAGCACCTTTGTTTCCCTCCAGTTTAGTGGCTGTGGTGACTTCAGATACTTTCAGCTGTTCTCTCTCCGGCAGCCTTTAGCTGGGAAGAAGTTGTATTGCAGTACACTTTTTGTGCAGGATTTGACTTTCATACATTTTGTATGATACAACTCCTTTCTTATTCTGTGTGTTGTACCACACTTTATGACAAAGTTCTTACTTCAAAAGTAAAATTATTACTGCAGATGCACTCTGCACCCAGCTGCAGTCCCAGGTGGATGATTTTTTCCTCTGCCACAGAAACATTCCAGGGTACTGTGACTACACTGACATGACCAGGGTGGTGCGGCTGCCTAGGATGCGGTGGAAAATAAAAAGTAAAATTATGAGTTTTTTTATATTACTTTGGAATAGGTTATGTATTTTTGTTGGTATCCATCATGTTTGTTGCTACACATGGCAAAACCTAGCTTAAATTACTGTAATTGAGTTTAGGTTTTTAGCAAGTTTTATGTTGCTACTTGATTTTTTTTTTAATATGCTCTATGGAAAAAGTTGGGAAATGCCACTGGAAAAAAACTGAAAATACCAATAAGACAGAAGCCCTAATTGAACCTCTAAAATGCTTCAAGAGCCCTGGCTGGTTTGGCTCAGGGGTTAGAGTGTTGGCCCGGGGACCAATGAGACCCGGGTTCGATTCCAGCCAAAGGCATGCACCTGGGTTTTGATTTGTCCCCAGCCCTGGTTGGGGTCACGTGGGAGGCAACCAGTCGATGTGTCTCTTTCCAATCTGATGTTTCTCTTTCTCTCTGTCTCTCTCTCTCCCTCTTTTCCTCCCTCCTGATCTGTCTAAAGATGAATGGAAAAATGTCCTCAGGTGAGGATTAAAAAAAATAATAAGAATAAATAAAATGCTTCAAGATTCTGGAAAAGATATTATGTATGATGGATGATATTTGAGTGATGTCATAAGCCCATAATTTAATACAATTTTTATTGATTGATTTTAGAGAGAAGAAGAAGAGGAGCATGCACGAGAGAGACATCGTTTATTCCACTTATTTAGGTGTTCATTGGTTGCTTCTTTGTATGTGCCCTGACTGGGGATCAAACCTGCAAACTTGGCATATCGGATTGACACTTTAACCAACTGAACTACTCAGCCAGCACCAAAATTTGTATAATTTTTAAACCCCTTTTTTTGAAGAGTGAAGGAAAAAAATCAAGGTAGTTTCTATCCAGATTAGACTGTATACAAATACCATTTACCACAAATTGCACCAGAGGAATTTTATGTGTTTTTATAAGCTGGACTTTGTAACTTTGTAAATGTTGAAATTTGTCTCAAATGGAATTTTCTGGTAGTTTTGTTTTGGGGGAGGAGATGCTGGTGGGGACCCAGACTTTTCTTTAAAACACATGGGTCAACTATGCTGTACACCTGAAACTAATACAAAATAATATTGAATGTAAACTGTAATTGAAAAATAAAATTCAAAAAAGAAAAGACACACAAAAAACCTCACATGAATCAAATTAAAAATAAGAGAGGGGATACTAACCCAGAGAAATAAAAAGGATTATAAGGGAATTCCATGCACAACTGTATGCCAAAAAATTAGATATACCAGATGAGATAGACATATTCCAAGACACAAGTTACCTAAACTGATGTAAGAAGAAATAGAACATCTGAATAGATGTATATAAAAAGGAAAGTGATTGAATTAGTAGTAGTAGTAATAATACTAAAACTTCCTACAAAGTGTCTAGTCCTAGACAGCTTAACTTGTGAATCTAGCAAATGTTTAAATAATACAAATTCTTTGCAAACTCTTTTAAAAATTAGGAGAACATCTCCCAACTCACTCTATGAGGCCAGAATTACATTGTACTAAATAAAACCACATAAAGACTTCACAAGAAATGAAAATGACAGACTATTGTAGTAAAACAGGTGCTGTGCAGAGGGGAAATGTGGAAGCAATTCATTTCTCTGGTGATACAGCCATTCTTTATACTCATTCCAAGGCTTCTAACGTGATGATGCTATTTTCTCGTATTACCACCATTCCAATATTGTTCTGTTGCCCACTAGTCACCATCTCCACACGTTCATCTATCACAAGATTCATAAAAGGATCAAATTCCCACAATATTACTTGGACATATCTACCACCATTTAATTTCAACAATAACTTGTTGTCCATAAATTTTTTTAACTCGGGAAGGTGAGCTTTGATCACTGTGTCTATGAGAGCTCCAAGACAGCTCCAAATGTAATTCATGGCGTCTTCTATGCTCCTGCGGTATGCCCGGCGTTTTGCTTCTTTATTGATTTAACAGAGAGAGGAAGGACGAGGGAGAGAGAGATAAAAACATCGATGAGAGAGAACATCAATTGGCCACCTCCTGCATGCCCCCCACTGGGGATTGGGCCCACAACCTGGGCATATGCCCTGACCAGGAATCAAACTGGCGACCTCTTGGTGCACAGGTCGATGCTCAGCCACTGAGCCATACCAGGTGGGCTTAAAAGAGGAAGACTGAAAGCTTTTCCTCTAAGTTTGGGGATAAGACAAAGATGTCCACTTCTACTCAACATTATACTGGAAGTTCTAGCTAGAACAATATAGCAAGAAAAAAAATAAAGGCATCAAAATGGGAAGGAAGAAGTAACATGAAATGTATTTGCAGATGACTTGATCTTATATATAGAAAATTCTAAGAAATCCACAAAAAAATTAGAATTAATAAGTGATTTCATCAATATTCAAAAATCAGTTATATTTTTATGAATTAGAAATTAACAATCCAAAAATTAAGAATATAATTCTATTTACCACAGCATCAAAATAAATGAATTACTTTAACAAAATAGTAAGATTTATACACTGAAAATTATAAAACATTGTTGAAAGAAATTAAAGAAAACCTAAATAACTGGAAATACTTCCTATGTTCATGGATCAGAAGATTTAAAAGGATTAAAGTGATAATAATCTCCAAACTGATGTACATATTTATTTCAATCCCATTCCAGTTGGCTTTTTTCTTTTTGCAGAAATGGCAAGCTCATTCTGGAATTCATATAGAAAGGCAAAGGACTAAGAATATTCAAAACAATCTTGAAAAAGAGTAACAGTTGGCCCTGGCTGGTTTGGCTCAGCGGTTAGTGTGTTGGCCTGCAAACCAAAGAGTCCCGGGTTCGATTCCAGCCAAGGGGACAGACCTTAGTTGCAGTTCATCCTCGACCCCAGTTGGGGGTCACCAGGGGGGCAACCATTCGATGTGTCTCTCTCACACCAATGTTTCACCCTCTCTCTCTTCTCCCCTCCCTCCCTCCCGCTCTATCTGAAGATAAATGGAAAAATATCCTCTAGTGAGGGTTAGAGGGAAAAAAAAAAAAAGAATAACAGTTGAGGAACTCACAGTTCCCAATTTCCAAACTTATTTTATTTATTTTTATTTTTATTTTTATTTTATTTCCTCCTACTTGGTGAGGTGGCAAGGGGGTACCAGGGAACCAGGCAGAGCTGAGATACTGTGACTGTGTCTCCAGGGTGGGCTTCAGACTGGGAGAGAGATGGGCGTGTCCTGAGCCCTTTGGCTGCGTTATGGGGATCCAGAGCAGAGCTTCCCAGTGAATTGAGCCAGCTCAGCACTTGGAAGGAGAAGAAGTGCCTACCCTACCCTCCTCCTACAAGCTACCGGCACCATTCCCAACACAAGTCTGTTTAAACCACTCCAGCAAGGTCACTGATACACGGATACACACACACAAACACACGCGCGCGCACACACACACACACACACACAACACACTGCAAAGCCCAGTTCCTTGGGGGATGGGAGAGAGCTGCCAGCAGGGACATTGAAGGTGGGAGACTTGAGGCAGGCCCAGCCTTTGGGTCATAGAGGCCCCACCCACTGGACTACTTGGTGCTCTGCCCTGCAGTGCTTCTGTCAGGTTGCCCAGGGCCAGGCAAGAATAGTGACTGGCATTGGATTGCACCAGAGAACCTCACAGGAGGCCTGGGACCAGTACACTAAGAGATAAGAGTCACACAGCATCAGAGCAAAATCCAGCGAACTCCATAAATAGCAGATCCAAAGGGTAATCGCTACAGGCACAAAGACCTGCAGAAGCGAACTCTACTTATTTTTATTAATTTATCTTTTCCTTATTTTTTTCTTTGTTATTTCATTTTTCTAAGTTTTTTTTCTTTCTCTTTTTTCTTTCATATTTATTTCTCACCTTTTATGCTTTCTCTTTCTCTTTTTTATTTTTCCATTTTTCTGTCCCTATTCTATATTTTATTTTATTTATTATTATTACTCTTAAAATTATTTTATTTATTACTATTAGTTTTTAGATTCTCATTCTTTTCTTTTGTATTTTGTTTGGTATCTTTTTTGGTCTCTTGCCTTTTAGTATTTTTTAAAATCCTTTGTGGTTATTCTTTATGTCTTTTTTTTTTTTTATGTAGTTTCATGGTCTTGTTTTGTATAACAGTTGGCATGACACGGTCAGGCTTGAGCCTCATAGTCAGCCAGCTCAAGGGCTAAGCCCACCAACGAAGGGGTCAACAGCAATCAAGACCCAAATACAGCAGGAGGGCCCACACGACACACACAGGGACACCCCTAGAGCACACAGCGTAGAAGATTAAGGAGACTATACCATTGGTTCCCACAAGACACCCACTACAGAAGGCCACCCCACCAAGACTAGGAGTTATAGCAGTCCTGTCCAACACAGAGAAACAAACACACACATATACACACAAAACAGCAAAAATGGGGAAACAAAGAACAGGTTCCAAATGAAAAAACAATGGATCTCCCTAAAAAGAGTTAAATGAAATGGAGGCAAGCAATTTATTAGAAACAGAGTTCAAAGTAATGGTTTTAAGAATGCTCAACAGCCCTGGTCGGTTTTGCTCAGTGGTTAGAGTGTTGGCCCATGGACCAAAGAGCCATGGCTTCAATTCCGGTCAGGGGCATGTGCCTTGGTTGCAGTTTAATCCCTGGCCCTGGTCAGGGTTGTGTGGGAGGCAACCAGTTGATGTGTTTCTCTCACATCAATGTTTCTCTCTCTCTCTCTCTCTCTCTCTCTCTCTCTCTCTCTCTCACCCACTCTCCCACTCTATCTGAAGATAAATGGAAAAATATCCTCAGGTGAGGATTTACAAAAATGCTCAACAGCATGAAAAAGGATATAGAAACCATGAAAAACTACTACTTGAATATAAAGAATAACAGCTGAAAGAAAGAATACACTGGAAGAAATAAACAGTAGTTTAGAGGAAGCAGAGGATCAAATCAGCAAATTAGAAGACAAGCTAGGGAAAAAGTTACTCAATCAGATAAGAAAAAGAAAAATAATTTAAAAGCATGAGGATAGTTTAAAGGAAATTTGGGACAACATAAAACTTAACAACATCAACATCATAGAGATTCCAAAGGGTAAAGAAAGTGAACAAGGGACAGAGAACATGTTTGGAAAAATAATGACAGAAAACATCCTTAACCTGGTAAAGGAAAAAGTCATACAGGTTCAGGAAGCACAGAGAGGCCCAATCAAGACAAACCCAAAGAAAACCACAGCAAGACACATTATAATTAAAATGGTAAACATTAAACACAAAGAATCTTAAGAGCAACAAGAAAGAGACAGTCAGTTACCTACAAGGAAGCTTCCATAAGTCTGTCAGCTGATTGCTCAACAGAAACCATGTAGGCCAGAGGGAATGGATGAAATATTCACAGTAATGAAAAGCAAGGATCTGAAACCAAGACTACTCATTTCAACAAGGTTATTATTCAAGAAATAAAGAGCTTCCCAGACAAAAAACAGCAAAAGAAGTTTATTACCACCAAACCAGAATTGCAAGACATGTTAAAGGAACTGCTGTAAGAAGAAATAGAGAGAGGGACATAGGTATAAGGAATGAAAATGATAATAAATAAGTACATATCAATAATAACCTTAAGTATAAATGGATTAAATGTGTCAATCAAAAGACATAGGGTAGCTGAATGGATAAAAAAACATGACCCGAGAAAAAAATGGTGGCGGAGTGAATGGAGCTACACAGACCATCTCCCAGGACCAAACTGGATTTACAACAAAAATAAAGACAAATCGTCAGGAAGGAGCAACCAAAAGGCAGCCTGGAGGACCACTTAACCAGGGACACTGACTCAATCCTGGTAGGCTTGCAAGGACGCGAGAGGGGGCTGGGAGCCCATGGTCCGCAGCGGCCTGGGATGGGACCAGCGAACTCGGCCGGGACCAGGGGACTCGGCGGGAAACTGCTGCCGCCTCAGCTGCGACTGCGGCTAAGTCCTGTGAACTCGACTGAGTGCTATGCCCTCGGCTGGTGCCGCAGACTCAGCCGCCCTTAGCTGGGAGCAGCCCCCTCGGGTTAAAAGTCCCAGCTGGCTCCATGACGCAGAGTCTGGACAGAGGCTAAATTGGCAGCAGCCACTCACCTTGGGCTCCGGCAGAGGGAAGGCAGACTGGACTGGAACTGTGTGGGGACACTCGGGATTTGGAGGGTGCTCAGAGCTTTTGTTGAGTGCAGCCACACAGGACTGTGGTCATTTTACTCCTTCCCAGGGCCCTGGGGAGAGGCGGTGGCCCCTCCCTTGGAGATTCAACCCCACCTGGCTGCCATTGAAATGCTAATTGAGGCCCATTAACAACCAGCATCTGCCCCACCCTCGGGAAATCCTCTTACACTGAGCACCTAAGAAAGTTTTTTAGGCAACTCAGAAACCAAGATTCTTCAGGTGACCTCTACTAATAGCCTCCAGGCAAAAAAAGCTAGAGGAAAGTTAAGACTTGACAGTGGTGTTTAAAGTGGGTCCTCCCTGCCTCATCCAAACCCAGGAGAGGGAGGCACAAACAGCAGAACACCAACACCCACAGGGAAAATTTGGCAGACTCCAAAACCCACTGTGATAGCCAAAATAGTGAAAACAGAAACAAAAGACAAATGAAAGAACAAGAGACCTCTACTGAAGATGAGATAAATGAGGTGCAGTTAAGCAAGTTAACAGAACTAGAATTCAGAGCCACGATCTTGAGGAAGCTCAACAGCATGTGTAAGGACATGAGCACCATGAGTAAAGACATAGAAATGTTGAAAATCAACCAGTTGGAAATGAAAAATGACATGTCAGAAATGAAAAACACATTGGAAGGTCTAAAAAGCAGAGTAGAGGAAGCTTA